CATTTTACAAAGAAATTTTACTGCATATCAAATATGCTATTTGAAAAGTGTCATTAATGCTAAACATTAACTATTCTCACGGTCCTTATGTAAAATTCAGATTTTATCTCATAAGTACAAAACATTCTTTATATGTCTATAATATGCATTTGATGTTTCTAACATGACAAAGATCAATTATTTCTCTTTCACTGTCTTTTTGTTTTTTTACGTTATAATTCTCTGATCTCCTATCTCTATATATTTTAAAACTACATTTTTGATATGTTCAATATTAAAAAATTAAGAAGGTAACTTTGAACTTCCTATCACAAACATGTGACAGAAAGTTCAAAGTTATCAATTTTTTTCGAAGTTAAAGAAATAATTTGTAGCGAAATATCCAAAAGGTTACTTTTTTTGAAGTTCTTTAAGTTTTAACCAATTATGCAATTGAACTATCATAAGAAACTTTTTATTATGTAAGCTTTTGTTGATTATATTTAAGAAGCTTTTAAAATAAAAAGAATTAGATACTTCACACCTTTAAGATAGTTAAAAAAAATACTTTTTATTATGGAAAAGGGTGTGATTAGTAGCCTCGTACTTTACAATCAACTTCATATAAACCTGAACCAGCAATCTTATTATAATCTTTTAACAGTTTTTCTTCTATTTTTTTTCATAGTCATTAATAATATCGAATAAAGCACATCTGATTGCCTATAAAGCCTGAATAAATAATTTAAATTCTTCTATCACCACTTTCTTATATGGAATATCTAAATCAAATACTTCTCTCACGTGACAAAAAGGGTGTGCTGGACAATCTAAGACGAGAACTTTCAGCTTCGCTTCTAAAATAAATATGTTTAATAACACATGGAATTAAACTAATAGGAACAGGATTCGATACTAGAATATATAAAGCTCAACTTACTATAAGCTTGGAACAACAACAATTCAGCTTTACGGATATCATTACAGAGGTTCTTCCAATCAGACAAAAATATGCATTTTTTCTCAATAAGTTCATCGAGCATTTTATTTTTTGAATCATATCCAAAGTGTATTAATTTACATTTATCATTATACACCTTTTTAGTAGTGCAGGTAGCCTGAAAAGGTGACTCTGATGTTTCAGCAAATACAATTTCATGGAGATTTTTTGCAATTATCATTTCAATCCAGGTATCTGCCTTCTTTGCTTGTGAAGATGTAAGAAATGGTGCCATTATTCGATCTAACTGTTCATGGGTTTCCTTCTCAAATTTTATATTTTCAGTCTTTCGATATTTTGATGCACTCGATATACTTTCTCCCCTAAATTAGTTCGAATACAAAAAAAAAAAAACAGAAACAATATAATAAGTTAGATTATTTAAATAATTGCAATAATTGCACATTTTTACATACTAGCGTAGCACACATTTATCTAGACTTAATGTCAAAATATCAAATAGTGAGTGTAATACAAAATGCTTCTAGATACCTTCATTAAACATAGTAGTGAAATCTTTATTAAAATTATTGCTTCTCCACATCTCAAATCTGTAAAAAATTTACTCATTATAGAAATTAGAATGCAAAATAAAATATATAATATTTATTTTATTTATTTATTTACTTAACAGTTTGCAGCATGCTTTTTAAAGAAAATATTGTTCTATAAATAAAAAACTTGCATCATTAACTTTTGGAAATAATTTTTCACACACTTGTTGGTTTTCATACAAGTATTCAAGATATTTTTCTGAAGTAGGATCCATGTCTCGATAGAATTTTATTGATGAAGCCGTCATTGCAATTAGTACTTGCTTGTCAAATACATCTTTAATTTCTTTGGGTAGATTTGAAAAATCAATCACATATGATAATAAGAGATTATTATATTCTAGATTCATTATCATTTCCTCAGTAATATTATGACAAATTGTTTTGACAACATCAATTTTTATATTGTTTTTATTTGTGAATGTCTATTCTGAAGCATCTTTTTGATCCTATAAAGACCAAAAATTAAACCAAATATTGATACTATTATGGTCAATAATAATAAAGTACTAACACTGATGACCTTTATATTAGTAATAAATCTTTTCTGGTAAGATTTATCAAAGCTTGTCATCAGTATTAACTTATTTTCTAGGCCTTCAATATATTCCAAAGTACGAGATACAAGCTTTTTATCTCCATTTTTTATTATATTTATGTAAGCTATGCGTGTATTTCTATTACTCTTTTTTCTATCTGTCTTGAATTCAATATAAAGAAAATATTAATTATTTGTATAAAATACAATTATATTGAAGAAATAAAATATTCTCAGAGACACATATTTTTTAAAAAGAAATATATCAAATCACAAAGCGTGAGTCAAACCCACCCATATGTAAACGTTAGTTTTAATGAATTCTGCAGGTAAATTTG